GTGTGTGTGTGTGTGTGTGTGTGTGTGTGGGAAAGTGAAGGTTTTCAGGCTGCAGCAGAGATAAAGTGACATGTTGACGGAGACGGAGACAGGAAGTGAGGCTTCTCACGTCATCGTTCGACACCGTACGGAGGACTGACATTACGGCCCGTCCACGTGACCTTTGACCCCTTCTCAAAGCAGTTTCCTTGTGTTTACATTCACTCCTCCAGTCATAAGTGAACTCCCTTAAACAATCTGCTGATTTTACATCGCTGTTCTTTCTGTCTGTTAACCTGTTCTGTCTACTTTCCATTCCTGCTGATCATTTTCCAAATCATCCATTGTTTGTTTTTTTACATTGATCTCCTTCTAAGTAAGTGATCGTCAGAGAGCAGGATTCGTTTTGTTCTTTCACAGTCAGAGTTTATGATCCACCACATCTTTCAACAGGGAGCAGGAACTTTGTAGAAGATGTAAAATGAAAGAAACCACATGAGATCAATTCATGTGGCATGAATGGCCCAATGTTAAATGTTTCTGCAGCCCCTTCTCACTCCGAAGACGTCACATGATCGAGACTCCTTGGCGTCAGTTTGTAACGCACTGGGGAGAAGCCCTTCAGTGTTCACAGAGAGCACACAGAGAAATCAAGGTACAGGAATTACAGTTGCTGTACGTATCCCATGTTGCAAACCTCTGGAGCGACTAGGGGTTGCGTCACTTGCTCAGAGACACATTGTTGGATGTGTCACACCGGGGATTGAACCCCATATGTGTTGTAGTACTCGAGACCAGTCTCAAGACCACTTTTTGATGGTCTTCGCTCGCTTCAGACTCAACCGCATTTGCACTCGGTCTTGTCTCGGTCTCGGACATGAAGGACTCTGGATTTTATTTCAAGACCAGTCAAGACCGTAACTTTGGGAATATCAAAAAATAGCTTTTGCATTGTCTGATTTATTTAACATCCGAACTTTGATTGGATGTAAAACGTTTTCCTTCAGGTGCAACCAATAATCCGAATTAAAAACGTGTTGTTACCGTTGATTTCAGCTCTTAGTGTTTGTATGGGGGGGGTTTAAATGGGAATGTGGATCTTTCAGATCAATCTGAGAAATACCTGTGATCTCATTCCACATTTTATTGCGTGAACTGGTCTTGGTCTCAGCCCCTAAAAGTCTTGGTCTTGTCTTAGTCTTGGCTTCAACACTACGGGACTCTCACACAACAAGCATGTGTCCTGTCCACTGGCCCACCGCCACCCCTTTGTACCCTTTGCTGTCAGCAATGATTCTGTACCTTTAAAAATAAAGTGTCCACGGTTAACACCTTAAGGACCATTTCTGTACCTTACAGGGTACTTTTTTGACAATCTTTAGGGAACAGAAATGATACCCCTATTTCTCTATTTGTGTAGTATATAAATAATGGAAAGGTCAGGGAAAGGAGGTGGTTAGGGTGGGTGGCTCAGAAACAGGACTTTCACCCAGCTGTTCATTTCCAGTGTGAAATAAAAAGCCAGTATTGATAGTACTGAGTTAAATAACAGAGATATTTCAACCCAAACCATAATCTTTTCTTAAACTAGGTTGACCAGACGTCCCAAAAAATTCGGGACAGTCCCGAATTACAAGCAGTTGTCCCGACTCCTGTCCGGTTTGTCCCGAAAATTAGACCTAACATGAGTTTGGATTATAGCCTAGTTAATCATTAAATACTGATTGTTGTGTAGCTCTCTTGCTCCAGCAGGGGTTGCAGGTTATCTGTACATTGTGTCAACAGTGTTGTTACAGCTACAGAGTAACACTCATGCTCTTTTCCCCTTTTTGTTTTCTTGTGGAAGTCACAGGGAAAGTGTTGCTTCAGGCAGCCACAGTGGAGGGATCTTCAGTTCAATTCAATCTTATTTATAAAGCACCAAATCACAACAACAATTATCTCTTGCGCTCATAAAAGGCCGGTCTAGACTGTACTCATATTATTTACAGAAACCCAACATGACAAGAAAGATGTGACACCGCACTGATGAAATGAATAAAATTAAATTAAAATTAGGTAAAAGATCATGATTTACGCCCAGGGCGTTAAAAAGCAAGGCCATGGGGTCTTGAACAAGCGTCCATATGTGATGTAAACGTCCTGTCATGTCATTTGTTAAAGAACACTTGACATGACAAATTCAGGCAGATGTTAAAGGTGGAAAATAACATGTGGGAGCAGCTATTTCACATGTGAATACACATTTAAAACACGTGAAATTCACACGTGGTTTTCAGATATGTCAGATATGTAACACAACAGACAAAATGTCACATGTCATGAATTCAGAGGTCGACAGAAGTAATTTATCACATGTGAAAAAAGCATTTCTTTCTGATGTTTCAAACGCGATAAAATTAACGGTACAAACATGTGGGTTTTTGAAAGTAGCGTTTTTCTTCTACTTTTCCACCACATGTTTACAATTTAAAAAATATGTGCTCTACTGGAAAATGGATGACAACAATGTCAAGTGTCTGTAGTTTGTGATAAATGGGCTGAGACGCTCTCAGCTCAGCACTTTAAGGCTGCTGACTGTTTTCAGACATGATTTAACTTCCCTCTGAGCGAATGTTCCTGTTTTTGCACTTTGTTTTCAGTCCAAAATGCCCGGCTGGTTAGAGGCCTGTTACTTCTTTCAGGCAGACTGTTGTTATCAGAGTAATAACAACAGGCTTCGGAAGCTGGCCAATCGCAGACAAGAACACAACTAGAGCTAAAAATATTGTCGTCTCTGTTCTCCAGCCCTTCGCTGTTTTCTCCTTCTCCTCCGTCCTGGTGCACTCGTACCTTTCTCCTCATCAGATGTGAAACCTCCTCTTCCTCCTCTTCCTCTCTGTTTCTCCTCTATGGTTCAACTCTTTTCTGCAGCCTTATCTTGGGCGTTCTCTCTTATTTTCTGCTTCGTTCTGTTCTATGGCTGTAATCAACAGATCTGCTGTGTTTTATTGTGTGTGTGTGTTAGTTTGTGTGTTAGTGTGTGTGTGTGTGTGTGTGTGTGTCACGGGAAAACATTGTTCAGTGCTACACTTTATCGCCACAAACCATACAACTTCCTGCACACACAGTATATTGGTGTGTGTGTTTGTCTACCTACATGCCAATTCTGCATGAATGCAGCAATCAGTGCAGTGTGCACATATTGTTGTGTATATGTGTGTGCGTGTGTGTGTATCTGTTGCTTGTATGATAATTGCAGTGTGTTCTGGTATGTTTGTGTGTGTGTGTGTGTGTGTGTGTGTGTGTGTGAATGCTAACTATGGAAGGCAATATAACAACCAAACAGCATGGAGGCTGTGTGTAATTACACATCATTACTGAACCTGTGTGTGTGTGTGTGTGTGTGTGTGTGTGTGTGTGTGTGCGTATAATAGCGGTCCATTCTGCCTGGCCTCGCTCTGGTTTGGTGACAGGAAGTCACAGCTCAGAGAGAAAGTTGAGCCAAGTCTGAAAACACTGAAATAAATCTGGTTTAAATGACTTTCAATGGGCAGCAGCTTCATGGGAAAAATCTGAACAAACAACCAGCTGAAGTCCTGACTGACTGCTGAAAGCTGCAATTATTATTATTGTCATTTTTTATGAGAGGAAAAACAGAGAAGAAAATAAAAAACAGTCGAACAGAGAGGATCCATTTACTGGAATAAAGAAGCAAAAAATAATAACCAAGTTCTATAAGTTGACTCATTTAGGACAGAAACAAAAAAAGGAGTTCCTCAGGTGAACAATGAGGATTAATGACTGGTCTTTCATAGCTCATTCGTGATTGGTCGACGGAACGTAAACACAGTCGCTGCTGAAGTTCAGATACTGTTGGTCTTTGAGTCACTGAAAACGGTTTACAGGGAACGTAAAGAAAGTCACTAAATTGTCGACACACACTGTTAAAGGTCCAGTGTGTAATATTTCTGAGGATCTATTGACAGAAATGCTAAATAATTTTCATAACTATATTTTCAGTGGCGTATTAAGACCTTACATAATGAACCGTTATGGTTTTATTCCCTTAGAATGAGACATCTACAGACACCGCGGGGCCTCTTACAAGGAAGTCGCCAAACAATTTCTCTGGATGGAAACAAGACTAGTGAACAGTGTTACAGTAAGTTCAGTAAAACAGAACCAGGGGAACGTGTTGCTCTCAGCAGAAGGCTAGAAGCAGCACACATCCTGCAGGCTCGTTCCACAACATGGATAGTATAATATTATAACATTAGATTACAAGTTCAATTTTAATCTAACATTATAGTATGTTAATATATTAACTATTTGATTTTACTATATGCATTGTCATTCTATATAATAGTACTCTATATAGCTCACCACAAGTATAATATAATGTCCAGTTGGACAAAACAGCAGTTTCATGTTTGAGTTGTTTTCATTTATTAAATCTTGGTGCAAGATAAATGGCCTACATTGGTCTCTTTATTTGTTAATGCTACTATCTCAGCAATAATCAGAACCATTCATGCAGAATGAGTTCAACATTTTTATGTCCTGCCCCATCCAGGCTGTGATTGGTCAGAGGAAAAGTCAAATTGACGAGCACGTAGATTTTATGAGCTATAGGAGCTGTTTCAACAAAAAACAGCTCATATAGCTGAATAGCCAGCTCGCCAAACCCACACACCTCCTTATCTTCTCCCTGCTGTCTTCTGTCTCACCGCTCCAGCTGCTGACGCTGCATCTGTCTTTGTTTTTGTAACGAGCTGCTCGAGCGGCCCCCGAGCGACCCGTCCGCCGGGATCCCTCCCGGTGCTCCGGTGGCTCTTTTCCAGCCAGAGTTTCAACAAGTCTAATTTGACTGACAACAGTTTTGCCAGAAGTCGGAAGAACAATTTCGATTTGGGACCGTCCGAGGAGCACGTGAATGCCACTGGTTGCAATTCACAACCCTCACCACTAGATGTCACTAAAACTTACAAGCTGGACTTTTAATGTGAACTTTTCTAACACTGCAAGCCCCGACCCCTTACCTGTGTTGCTAGGCGATCTCTGACTGCCACGCCGTGACCCTTCAGGCATGATGCGATGATGTCACAGGAAGTAGAAACCTGGAGGAAAAGAACGATGAGAAAACACGGTTAGCTTGCATTAACGTGCGACTTTGGTGATCTAATCACAAGCGGACAGCTTTGAGTACAGGGCTGTTTCTCAATACCGAGTTCGCCAAGTTCGGACTTCTGTACTTTAAAGTTCAGCTCGGAAGTACAAACTCCCAGGAACGGGAGCACGCAGTCCGTCATTCAGCAATTGGAACAGCAGCGAACTTGATGGCCGGACCCGTTTGCGGGCGGGACCTCACATCTCCGAAAATGTCATAGTAAATTTTTAAATAAGCTCTTAAAACTACTATATGTGACAGCAGTATTATAACTTGCAGTTGTGAGTTTTCTCCTCCGACATTTCCGCCTTTTGGCTGCGGAATGCATTCTGGGATATCCGGCTATCCGAAGTCCACACAAGTCACGCAGGCTCGGTAAAACGGGTGGAGCGAGAACACATCCGGGTATCTGACTGTACCTGGCTGGATGCGGACTTTTGAATTGGAACAGTACTTTGGCTGCGACTGATGACGTTTCACAAGAACAGAAGAACAGACAAGAACGCAGACTGAGAAACAGCTCAGGTGTGAAAGTAAATTCATCAAATTCAGGTTAAAAACAACAACGCGCCTGGTCTTTGCGAACAGAAATGATTTATGTCACTCATCCTACCGCCAGGTGTGAACTGATGTACTTGTGAGTAGATAATCCAGGACGAATGTTAATGCCAGCGGTGAACAGCCTCACAAACTGTTTCCTAACATCCCAGTGCAGCCTTTCTTTTTCTTCCCAACATAAGAGCACAGCAGCGGCACAAAGAGACTCAACACACAAAGAGGCAGGAGGTGAAAACCTTCATACGTGTCTGTGTTTAACAGGGGAGAGAAGAGGAGGTCTGTACGAAAGAATTCTCTCTTTTCTTGTGTGCAAAGAGTGAGGACATATGTAATGTCTGGCTGGAAGACAAGAATGTGGTCTCTTCTCTTAACTGCTGTGTGTGTTTGTGTGTCCACTGGAGGATAACGGCCTCCTGGGAAGTCATTGATACAGTGACACAGATTGACCCAATTAATCCATTGTGCTTAAAGAGAGTTTCTGCAGCTGTCTGCTGAACGACTGAGAGATGTGGGTCAGGTGGGGAGGAGGGGGTCAGTCATACAAGACAGATGCAGTGCAGGTTGAAATCTAGGTGCTCAATTGTTGAGGGGTTTCCTGTTTTTGAGTAAACGTGTGATTGTTACAGTTTAAAGTGTCCTTATATCTCTAATGTCTGTCTCTAAAGAGTGACTCTGGTGGGACTCGAACCCACAACCTTTGAATCACTTCTCATGTTCTAGAAGTCCAATGCGCTGTCCATTGCGCCACAGAGCCTGTTGCTGAAGCTGCAGATTTGCTTCTACTTCGATTTCGGAGCGTGTGAGAAAAATACAAATAGGCAATGTCACCAAAAAATGTTTATCTTTTTACAAATGTTGTACGCAAGCATTCGTTTCCACATTAACTAACAAGAACACTAAGTGTTTGGTAAACCAGTAGATTTGGTCAAGTTGAATGTAACAGTTCTGAAAAAAATAAAAAAAAGTTTTAAATAAACTTTAAACTTGTTTGTTATTTTCTTTCCTTCCATATTAGACCTATAAAAATAATTTTATCATACGTGTTGCTGCCAAACTTAGTTCTACCAATGTAGACACGCTCTAATGTGAACAACTCCAACTCCCATGAGACGCACAAAGTGAAGGGGGAGCTGGAGCCAATCCCGTCGGGTGAAAGGTGCGGTAGACACAAACAACTAAGGGCAATTTAGTGTCACCATGAATCGTGTCTTCGGAAGATGGGAGGATGTCGGAGCACCTGGAGAGAAAATGCAAACGCCACACAGAAAGCCCGACTGAGGTTCGAATCCCAGACCTTCTTGCTTTGCTGCTAACCACTGCTCCACCGTGCCGCCAGTGAAATATGGATGTAATTCCTGGTAATGAATATGGACACCAGATTTAGAATTAGACTTTGAGACTCGGACTAGAGTCCAACTTAAGACAAACACACAGTGACTTCAGGTTACAGTTACAGAATCCCTTTTAGCGCTGCAGTTTTATAAGCATCCTGGACTGAACGCAGCAGCTGATCCAACATTGATTATAACCACGAGAGACTAAAGACTTAACTTGGACTCTAGCTCAGAGACTTAAGACTTGACTTGGACTCTAGCTCAGAGACTTGAGACTTGACCTGGACTCTAGCTCAGAGACTTGAGACTTGACCTGGACTCTTGCTCAAAGACTTAAGACTTGACTTGGACTCTAGCTCAGAGACTTGAGACTTGACTTGGACTCTAGCTCAGAGACTTGAGACTTGACCTGGACTCTTGCTCAAAGACTTAAGACTTGACTTGGACTCTAGCTCAGAGACTTGAGACTTGACTTGGACTCTAGCTCAGAGACTTAAGACTTGACTTGGACTCTAGCTCAAAGACTTAAGACTTGACTTGGACTCTAGCTCAGAGACTTGAGACTTGACTTGGACTCTAGCTCAGAGACTTGAGACTTGACTTGGACTCTTGCTCAAAGACTTAAGACTTGACTTGGACTCTAGCTCAGAGACTTGAGACTTGACTTGGACTCTAGCTCAGAGACTTGAGACTTGACTTGGACTCTTGCTCAAAGACTTAAGACTTGACTTGGACTCTAGTTCAGCGACTTGAGACTTGACCTGGACTCTAGCTCAGAGACTTGAGACTTGACCTGGACTCTAGCTCAGAGACTGGAGACTTGACTTGGACTCTAGCTCAGAGACTTGAGACTTGACCTGGACTCTAGCTCAGAAACTTGAGACTTGACCTGGACTCTAGCTCAGAAACTTGAGACTTGACTTGGACTCTAGCTCAGAGACTTGAGACTTGACCTGGACTCTAGCTCAGAGACTTGAGACTTGACCTGGACTCTAGCTCAGAGACTTGTGAGCATCTCTGATGGACACTGGAACTCAGGTATGTGGCTCTATGGCACAATGGACCTCAAGTTGAGCATAAAGGAGAAATACAAAAATTGTGGGTTGGAGTCCCACCAGAGTTGGAAGTTATGGGGGGTAAACTCACACTAGACCAACTGAACTGACCACACAAGCAAAACCACATCTTTCCAGTTCAGCCTTGTAGTGCTCTCTGTCAAAATGCTATAAGGAGTAAAATAAGTACAGTCACAGGTTACTTCTTTTCGTTTTGGAGACAGGGTTTGAAAAAGTGAGTGAGTCTGAATTACAGAAAGCTCACTTCAATCAATCAAACTTATTAGGTCTGAGAGAGTGACCCTGAGAGAACAGGCAGGACGGAGAGAGAGAAAATTTGATGGATCAGGTCCAACGCTGTGGTTAACCAACTCCGAGGTTACACTGAGGTTAGACACACACACATAACACACTGCAGTGTTTGTGTGTGTGTGATGAGGTGTGTTTGAAGCGGATGCACCTGGAAATACCTTGGTAGGTGATGATGAGGTTGGCCAAATTACCCCCACACACACACACACATCCCAGTGACTGACGATGGCAGCCGACCAACTCTCTCAGTTACGTCACAACAGCGGGGTCAGTGAGTGTGCGTGTTGTTGCCACAGCAATCGGACAGACTGTACACAGTCATCAGTTTCATTAAATTGAGCAGAGCCGTCAAACACAATCCGGTTTCTCCACTTGAGCCTTTTGACCCGACAGTTTCACTTCCACTGAGCTCCAGATTGGAAACCAGCTCCCAGAGCACATTACAACATCACCGGAGAGCCGGAGTCAAAGGGCCAGAGGTCGGAGGCCACAGCAGAAGTCTGACGCTGTGAGCCCACCAAGAATAAACTGAGGCTCCCTCCACACTACTGCTAACAGAAACCTTTTTATAATTTGTTACTATAACCTGGGATCAGTTTAAAGATTCACTGCTGCCTAAAGACCGGGACTCGAACCACAACTTTTTAATCACGCCTGCTTGTCTAGAAGTCCAACGCTCTATCCATTGCACCACAGAGCCTCGTAAGGGACTGAGGGATTTGTTGGAATTCTACATTTATTTGCGTGTGCGACACAAACAGGCAACGTCACCACCAAAAGGTCAAACTACCACAACCTTTGAATTACTTTTTCAGAGTTTAACTAGAGGTCCAGTGTCCATCGTGCACCAGAGCCAATTGAAGTGAGGTGAAATGTGTCAACCAAAAAAGGTTCGCTGCTGCCTTTAGTCAGTGACGAGTTCTGAAGTTCACCTTTAGAGGAACTCGAACCAAAAGTAAAAGAATAATATACAAACATTTAAAGTGAAGCGGTGGGAGAAAGCCGCTTAATTCTGAATGAAGGGGATAACTCGACCTGGATTCCTACAGTTTAACATTAATGTCTGTCTCTAAAGTATGACTCTGGTGGGACTCAAACCTATAAACTATAAATCACTTCTCTAGAAGTCCAATGGACTATCCATTGCACCACAGAGCCTGCTGCCAGAACACCAGATTTGCTTGGGTTGTACTTGGATTCAGGGAGCGTGCAAGACACAAATACAATGTCACCGCTAAAAGGTCAAACCTATAAATCGCATTTCAATCATCCTGTCCACTTTCAGTAATAACTTATTTTAGGAGCCATGTTCACCAGAGCGTACGTCTGACTGAGAGCACACCTGTATGAGGGAGGCTCTCTGCCCACAATGGGCCCCTTCCATAGGAATGTGTGATTAATACAGTGCACTGCAAGCAACACAACACATATGATGGCTCTTTGTGTATTATGTTAAATGCTGATTAACAAAATCCTTCATACCAGATCTTTACCACATTATCACCTTGATGACTCTGAAACATGTTGCACACTTTTATTTTATGTTTTTTAGTTTCTTAGAATAATTATCTATATTTGACAATAATCAATGCACAGCATCCTTAAGCAAAAACTAAAATAAATAATTGAATAAAGTAGGTGTGTAATATGGTGATTATCTTCATCTGTTTTCATGTGTTCTATATACCATC